CACGCGAATTACCTTATAAGTAATGAGATAATAGAAGCTCCAAAAAACAACGCATGACAAACACATATAGATGGTGGTACAAGCTTCATGATTATCAAGAGAGTGACTGCAGAAACAGACAATAGCAAAGTTATAAGTATATTTGATAGATGTTCACCATCGGGCTCCTCAACACCCGCGGTCTGTAAAACAAAGTTCATTAAAGTGAAGCATCTGCGTAATGTTGTTAGAACCTGGTGCCAGCTCCGAATGGTCGTCCATGTCCAATGCCTCTGTATCTGCGGAAGCCCCTTGAGGGACCGTAAAGCATTCAATAATCTAGCATCTAACAATTACAGTGCCATGTAATCATACACTAACTTGAATCTCAGTCCTCTTACGGCCCACTAATCTATCGAATTCGGATACAACATTGCTCATAGTTCTCTAAAATCAAGAAATTAGTTGCGTATTGAAAAAAAAATTTATCTTACATTTACAACTTGCTCGACAGAACGCTTCGTGAAAATTCCACGTCCGTTCTGAAGTCCTCCTCTATTCGTTCCCATTTGGAGATTTCCTCGCCGTGCCGGCGATCCTCTCCCTCTGTAGCCAAATGGCCTGCGACCTCCAGTATAGGCTGATGCACTTCGATTCATTTGATTTTTTCTTTCCACGAATGAATGGCTTCGTTTATTCCCGCGCCCTCGTGGGTGAATTTGATATTTTCTTTTATAGCCTCCTTGCCCTTCATGCCCTTCCACTATTTCGGATTATGTCATCCAGACGTAAGTTAACTTTATTCCTATCTGTTTCCATCTAAAAGGAAAAAATCTCTTTGGCATTAGGTAAAACAAAATCATATGTAAAGTACACTCAGATACTCACAACTCAGGAATACATGACACCTTTCAGCACAACTTTGCCCGCGCAACCGTATCTGCATCTGCATATCATATCGTACGCTGTTTGTCCAGAGTCCGGTGATTATGCACTTCATACAGCTATCTTTGGCTAACCTAGTGTGTCGCTCCTTTGTTGGCCGTATCAGGTAGGCTCTGTTTGGATTGGTTGTGCAAATTGCTATTTCTTTGTTTAGACCTCTAGTATTCGCTGTTTCTTCTTTCAGTAGTGAGATTATTGACTATCTGTAGACTAGCATTTGTTCGCGTGAGCCAGTTCAAGTGTGTT